GAGAGAGAGAGAGAGAGAGAGAGAGAGAGAGAGAGAGAGAGAGAGAGAGAGAGAGAGAGAGAGAGAGAGAGAGAGATGGTGGTCGGTGGTTGGTTTGTGGAAAGTGTGAAGCTGAGGTATTACATGCTTGCTCTGACAGTCACAAAGGACAGCCCAGAACGTGGGCAAGATGCCAAGAACTGAGAGGACAGACCAGATACACTGAATAGTAATTCCGATCAGGATGGCGAAGAAACATTGAAGCTTGAGAATTAGGCATATAGATTAACTAGATTAACTACAATTGTCAATAGATTGGAGCAGATAGCATGCGCTTCTTCCCCCTTCATTGACAGGAGAGATGCCTGGCTATGTTCCTGCTTATTGGTGCAGCAGCTGCAGCTTGATCATCAGCCATTTGGTGGAAGTTAACCAAGATGATGATTCAACTGTTAAATCCCTGCTCCGAGTCCGCATTTCTGATCTTCGATTTGCAGTCGGAGCTTGGTCGGTCGTCAGGAACACATCCACTCATGCACCACGGTAGCCATAGCACAGACAAACTTGCCTCCGCTGTCGCTCACAAATAAATCCATTGTGGTCACATTGCTGCTGATGCTACACTTTCCCGGTGGACGAAGCGGAGAAGGAACATGACAACGTAGTGCCCCAGTCAACATGCTCTCTCTCTCTCTCTTTCTTTTTTTTTCTTTTTCTTTTTTTTTTTCCGGCCAGCGGCCCCACGACTGAAGTGCTCCACTTATTTGGAATATAGAATATCATAATGTCCAGGCCGATACAACAGAACCACTGGAGGCACTGCCTGCGTTCCATCTGCTGTGGCCTTCTTGCCACTGCTTGTTTCCTTCGGAACGAAGTCGTGAACGCTCACCTCTGCGGACTTGTCGGATCCACAGGACAGACTTCCGTCCAAGTACACGACGCGTACAGGTACACCCAACGCATCAGACAGAGCGATGATGTGAACATGATCGCTCTCGACACCCATCGGCTCCACACAGCATCGGCAAAACTGCAGATACATTGGTTGCATTAGAACAACTGTCAGAAACCATGAGGTTCTGTTTGAAAAAAAAAAAAAAAAGAACACGAGCCATTTCCAACCTGCCAATCAGCTTCATAGCATAAGAACAGCAAACAACACACAGGAGCAGCTGTAAGACATAACAAAACACAAGGCAGTGAAGGCACTGACCAGCCTGCCAGTCAGCTGCAGAGCACGACACACAGAAAGACTTCACACTGGCACACAAATACCCCAGAACGTCAATACGAACCCATACTGCCACGTTCCCAACCACACAGCTACAGAGAAACCATGCCAAACAATGCTTGCTGGTTCTATGCAAGCAAGAGATTTCAAACAGCCTCTCTCTCTCTCTCTCTCTCTCTCTCTCTCTCTCTCTCTCTCTCTCAAGCGAATGCTCGCAACTCACCCCCGCTCTCTGCGGATTGCACCTCCCTCCCCTTGTAAATTCTCTCTCTCTCTCTCTCTCTCTCTCTCTGTGTGTGTGTGTGTGTGTGGCTTTGGCTTAGCTATTGGTTTTAGTTATCAGCTTTAGTTATTGGCTTCCCTTCCCTCCCCCCTCCTCCCCTCCCCCATCAAAAGGCCTTTAGTGCAGGGAAAGAGAACGACCTACCTGGAGGACTCCCATATTGCTGAGGCCAAAAATAAAAGGCTCGAAAAATTCTGCCCGCCTTTGAATTTCTGAAGATGTGAAGAACCGGAAGCACATGACAACTGCAAAGCCAGAGAAGGGAATTGGCACATGTTTTAGAACAGTCAGTCAGTAACAGTCAGTAACGCTGAATTAACTAACTGCCACTGACGTACGGCATGCAACAGAGGTGGAGCACAGTGAAGTATGTGCTGATCCGCCGTGAAAGCCATTGGTCAATTACACCATGGATGGATGGATGGATGAGGAGACAGGTAACTTCAAAGTTAACCACATATCCAGCGGCCTAGCTCAGTTGGTAAGGCACGCAAGTGGCATTCAGGAGGTCTTGGGTTCAATCCCCATTGGCCTCATGCACCTTCCTGGGCAA